CAAACTTATCACCTAAAATCAAACTTATCACAAAAACGAACAATTGAACATATATCAGCGTGATAACAACTACCTTAAATGACCAAAACCATCTTTCGGAAAATTGTATTAGAAGTGTAATTTATTTTTTATTTTGACTCAAGTCCCATTCGTTTACATGGAGAGGGCGGGGTTTATGACCTGTACTGCAGCCAGCCACCAGGGGGCGATCAACGAGCCCGCAGCTTCACTTTTCAGGACGTGTGAGGCACACCCGGAAAATATAAACAAATATGGCAACTTAAAAATACTTACTTGTATAGCATTTTAACCACGCAGATTCCCACAAGGAGCAGGACCACAAGCAGAATGGTTGGCACAATTATTATGACCAGATTAACTGAAAACAAAAGAAAATGATGAGATATTAAGTAATGATGGTGAAGAAAAACAAAGAAAAAACACCCTTTGCATTTATGTACATGGTCAAGCATTTTTGAACCATTTCCAGAGATGAGAAAAGACAAACTTAAATTCATTTTAGTAATTTCCAAGTTATTATAGTGTGTGTATTAAATAATTTTATTCAATGGTCTGTCTGAATACTGGATTCTGATTGGCTGGCAGGTATGCATTAAAACCATCTAATGCACAGGTAGTTCCAAGTCAGTTTAATCACCGTTCCATATTAATGCGCTGCTATAATTGATGCACACAAACACACACACACACATAGTACAAATATAACAATTAAGGTCAGGTAGAAACGTGTTATGTGTTATTTTAGTGTCATTGATGTACTATTAAAATTCTTACTAATATTTTGAATTAGATTTAGATTTTATGTTTTCTTTTTAATTGTAGTTCAAATGTTGCTAATTTTGTTGTGTTTTGATAAGTTTTTTAGTATATTTATATAGTTTATATTAAGTTTTAGTTATTTTAATACTTCAACTTAAACTAAATGAAAATGAGAAATGTTGCCTTGGCAATCAGCTGAAATAAAAAGAGGATTTAAAAAATATATATATTTTATTTAGATTCAGCCAATGTTTAAGTAATAAGTAAGTAATTTACTTTTTATGGTTATAGTTAATGATATTAAACCCCTGAGGTAGACAACAAGACAATAACTCTTGAGAAAAAATAAGCTTTTAGCTGAAATTTGAATAGTAGTGGTAGGGAAATATTAGTGCGTTCTCAGACATTTGTCCAGTACATCTGTAACAATCTGTAATAATTAATGAGTGATTAGCTTGTGTTCTTAAAATCATACCAAGATCGGCCTGAGAGGCCACTGGTTTGGTCAAGTCACTGTGAATGGACTGTGTAGGCCGGGCCTCCTGTGTCACCGTAGATGATGAATTCACTGCATAGGGAGACACAGTGGTTTAGTGAACAGTTCTAATGAGAGAAATGAGGTTGTGAAGCCTTTGCGTCTCAGACATGCACCTGGGATGGGTTTAACGTAAGGACAGCCCAGTAGCTGCAATCTCATAGCGATTATCCGGTGCCACTGTTGAGGTACGACTCGAATACTGCGTGCTACGATGGAGGGATGGAAGGTGTTGCGTGTTTGGTGGAGGCTGTCAGTATTTCCTTCAAAGATCTGAAGTAAAATACAACATTGTATAATCAAACAAATGATGTATATACAGCTAAAAAAAGCTAAATCTATCTATCTCTATAATTTCCTACAATTGTCAGGGAAAAATGAAAACCAAACATATTATAATAATCAATTAAAATATATATATATATATTATATTATTAATTGTATATATTAATAAATAAATAATAATAATAATTTTTACTGAACATGATTATGTAGTGATTTAAAGAAAGTCTTACCATTTCATCAGAGTTATTATACTGGACAAATGTTCGCCAGCGACTCCTCTCTTTGTACTCGATCTTGTAGTTTTTTACAAAATATTCAAAGCCTGCGATGGTCAAGCCTGTGGTCAGAATACCTATGAACCAAAAACATGACTCCGAATTATTTCATTAGCAAACTCCCGTTTAGTTCCATGACAACATTTAGCCTCAAATGCTCCTGAGGACCGTGATGCAAGCGCTCAGCCAGCTGAGGAATGCGACAGCATGTAGGCTAAAGACTTCACTTCAGAGTGCGGCCCGTCATCTGCATCACAGTGGAAAACCTGCGGCCGGCCTCCTTCGGTTACTAAACACATTCCTGAGGGAAACACTCAAGTGGCATGTTCCCAGCAGACACAGAAAGACCCCAAGGCCTGTTATTACTTTCCAGCATTAACTACATCACAGGCGAGAGGACACCACTGTGATCATAGGAGCAATTCAAAGTGTGAAGCTGTGAGACTGAAGTGTGATGACTTGAAAGTTAAGAAAGGAAGTTACTCATTATCAAAGAGAAAGCCAGGAAAGCTATAGAATCAAAGCACTATTTTAAAAAAAAGTCACTGGTGTCCCTTCTTGCGGTTGAAGATGAATATATTGAAAACTAAACAAGCAGTTAAGGTAAATGATAAAATACACAATTGTGGTTCTGACAGGATGAGCAATGCATAACCCATAATTCTCCCACCTCCTACGTGAAAAATGACCACTGGGATGGCACTCGGACGTCCGACACTGGTGAGAAGTGTAATTTATTGTCATTTCAAAGATGGCAGAGTAAAGCAAGGCTCTATTGTTTGTTTTGGGAGAATTATGAGTTGTCTGGAACGAAGAATGACTGGAACATTTTGAGGTCAGAAGTGGGATATTTCAGTATTTCCACTCCAGTATTACCACCAAAACATTACAGATTTCATAATCCTCAATATCACTGCAAGATGAATCACTAGCTTCAACTGGCAATTATTATACATACAGCATATCCAACTACACATATACTCACATAAAGCGATATACAGTTTGGTGTTGGTAAGATTTCTAAATGTTTCTGAAATACGTAAATACATTTCTTAAGCTCAACAAGGCATTTATTTGATAAAAAATACAATAATATTGTGAAATATTACAATTGAATTGTATAATAACTGTTTTTTATTTGAATATAGTATTTAAACGTTATTTGTTGTCACATGATCCTTCAGTAACCATTCTAATACGCCTATTTGCTGCTAAAGAAACATTTCTTACTATCAATATTCTTTTGTGGAAACCGTAATACATTTACAGAATTCTCTGATGATTCGAAAGTTCAAACAGCATTTATTTGAAATGTAATTCTTTTGTAATACAGTAAATGTCTCTATGGTCACTTTTGACCAATTGAATGTGTTCTTACTGAATGCAAGTATAGATTTCTTTCTTTCTTTCTTTCTTTCCAAAAACAAAAATCTTACTGACCCAAAACTTTTCAACAACGCTGTACGTTACAGTGATTTTACAATGTTTAAGGGTGATCCTAATATATAACACTAACACTAGTTTCTTGTGGCTCACTGCTTTCATTTACCCTACTCTGTTCAGCAATATATAAAAAAAAAACATGCATTTTGTTGACAAAAGCTTTCTCAGAAAAAATGCAGAGTGGTGACCCCACAGATAAAGAGATGCTTTTTCTCTTGATTTATTTAGCCTCACAAATTTACGCCATCATCACAACGATAACAGAGCTTCCTCTTTGAGACGGGCCGGTTTCACTCAGGGTCATCGTGTCCAAAAGCACAGATTCCCTCTGACAGGAGACAAAGTGAGCATTCTCTCGCTCCTTGAGCTGTATGAAATTAACTCGGTTTTGCTGTCTACACACAGTTGTGCTCAAAATAAACGTGTCCGGCGTGTTCCTAAATTTAAATGTGCTTTTGTAAGAGGGTTTGTATTTGTGATGAATGGACACAGAGAGGGCCTTTCTGTGCTTTTATGCAATACCAGGAACTGTTCAAAAGATGCAGATACCAGTTAGCAGTCGGGGAGGGGTGAACGCTCATGTGCTAATGCTCGGCACTCAGAGCTGATCACGAGAAAGACCTTTTGTGAGGATAATTACACCCTCTGGAACCAACTGTGGGTCTTTCCGACATGTTTGCGTGTTTGTTTTGATATAATAGCATTACATTTCTCCCTGAAGTAAGGAAAAGCTACTAAATGATGCATTGGGAAAGCCAAATCTTGAGGTGTTAAAGAGGAAACTGGCACAGTCAGGTGACCCAGAGACGAACAATCTGGATGAACAAACATGTTGATGAAATCAGGTTATGAAGGTTACAAGTATTACCTGTGATCCTCCTCTTTTCTCCGAGGTCAATCTGGAGCCATTTTGGTTGGTTATTGTTAAGGTCATCAGCAACACCTGGTTGGGTGCTATTAGGAAACCAGTCGACTTCAGACCCGTCAGAAGAGATATTGTGTGATGACAAGCTTGTAGAAGTGCTCACAGGTTGAAGAACAGTCTGTTGGCTGCAATCTGTGAAAGAGAGAACATTGTGGTCAGATTTCAACACATTTGAAATAGGGCTGCCACTAACGACTATTTTTATTTCGATTAATCTATCGACTAATTTATCGATTAATCTAAACGATTAATTTCCCACACAAAAAACATAGAAAAATGAAAATGGAAAAAAAACTTTGGAAATAAAACTGATTTCATAGGGCCCTATAATTATATTTGATTTTTTTGTTGTAATAAAAATAGATGAAAGTGAACAATAGCCTTTAAAATGACTTAAAATACATATATAATAGCAATGAGGCAATAATAATTAGTTCAAATAAAGTATCAAAAGCAAGAAATCATATAGTTTTATTGAACAAAACTGTTAAAATACATAATGTATTATAAACAATACAGCTTATGTACTTTACGCATTATAACAAAGGCCTGCAGAGGGCGCCAACGGCCTGATGATTATTTTTACACATTGCTGTGCGATCTAATACTTGTTTAATATTGACCAAGCACCATTTAATTCAAATGTCCACTTAATCTTTAATATTAGGCCACTTATTTAGGACAGAAATGCTATAGCCACTGTAATTTAATGAATATGTGGACATCAAAACGTGTAAACTCAGAGTGAGGGTTTGAGCTTTTATTTTGAAACCGCGATGTATTCTCCTGTGTTTGCGTAGATTTATAAATGATTTACCTTACAAATCTGATGAAATGGCGCATGTTGCGTTCCCAGATGAACGTTATAATAAACCCAAACTCACAACAACATGCAGAGATGGAGTTTGAGACGCTCCACACATGTAAATGATAACAGTTCCTGTGGAACTACTGTGAACGGAGCCGCTGTGTGACGCATGTACTTAACCTACACGCATTTAAATAATTAAAGCGCCTATACTGTATTAGAACTGCATCGCATATAATTATTTAATTAAATCGTAGCGTTTGTAAATTCACAATTATGCTTAATTATGCTTAATTTTTAAATGGGTTTAATATATCATGCAGCCTTGGGAAACAGTCTAATAATGTGTTTTATGGATTCTCGTCCATGAAATGCACCACTTCCGGTATTTTGCCGGCTTAGTCGACGCGAGCAAAATGAAGTCGAGGATTTTTCAAAATTGAATAGTCTAATAAAATCGACGAATCGCGACAGCCCTTATTTGAAATGAAACATTTACATTACCAATTTAAAAGTTTGGGGTCTAAGTTTTTTCAGTTTTTTATTGCTCAAAAGAGACGACTCAAAAGTAAAGACTTGAAAATTGTTAAACTCTATTTCAAATAAATGCTGTCCTTTTTCAGAAAAATGATTCACACTTTCCATGATTTTCTATGAAATGATTCACACTGCACAACTGTTTTCAATACTGATAAGAAATGAGCAGCAAATCAGCATATTAGAATTTCTGAAGGATCAACTGACAGTGAAGACTGGAGTAATGATGCTGAAAATTCAGCTTTGCATCACAGGAATAAATTATATTTTAATATACAAAACCAGTATTTTAAATTGTAATGCACCGAATGTTAGGGATGCACCGAATGTTCGGCAACCGAAATTATTCGCCCGAAAATAGCAAAAACAAAGCTGTTTCGGTGTTCGGCTGAATAAGCGAAAAGACCGAATAAATTGTACCGAACAATGACGTGACGCTATTAAATAGAAACCAGCGTAAAGTGAGAGGCGCGCACTCTTTATAATGCAGCACACATGTCAGCAGTGTGGAAGCATTTAAACTGTCTGAGAAAGACGTAAAAATCATTACAAGCACCGACAGCGAGAGACTGATTAGTACTGAATCGCATGTCTTCGATGAGAAGAGGAAGGGCTGATTGTTGCTGGTTTACTGTATGATGACTGAAATCGCGAAATGGCCTTAAACAATTAGTAAATAAACTGCAGAACGTTATGTTTTCTAATACACGCGCGCATTGCATGTATTCTGACAGCGCTGCACGAACTCGCGACGCATCTGCTTGTTAACCAGGGTTCAAAGTCCAAAGCGAAAATCTGCGCTGAAACAGTGTTACTCGTCAGTTGCTCAGTCACATTTTTATGAATTTTTACAAGGCATGTGACAATGCGATACGTGCGACGTATTCGTAATGAAAAAGAAGCATTGAGGTCTTTCTGCGCGTTTCCGCCAAAATAAAAGTTGAGAAAAAGCAAGAACTCCATCAACATTCATAAATGTTAGTATTGTAATTTTACTGTTGTTCTGTAAAATAAAATAAAAAGTAATACAATAATAATGATAATAATTACAACAGCTCTGTTAATACATTTATTATAACATACACACAGTGTTCAAATTAGGATCTGTAATATTTTGTAATGTTTTAGAAGAAGTCTCTTCTGCTCAGCAAGGCTGCTTTTAATGTTACAGTAAAAAATACATGCCTGATTCAAGAAGGGGGTCTGATCGGCAAAAAATATTATTTTAGTAACTAATTAATTTTAAGCTAAATTGTGCTTTGTTGGTATAATGTCTGCTAGAATGTAAAAAAAATATTTAGT